CATCCAATAGTTGCTGTGAAATTTAAGAAATCACACACTGACGACACCAACCTGTACATCAAACAGGGAGAAAAACATCACTGTTTTAACAAACAAAAAATTCAAAAAATTTTCTTTGCTTGGAGAAAAAATGTCTACTTCAGTCTCTTTTTACCCATAGATTTATGCAGCATCCAGGCACACTCCAGACTGACATCTTCAGATATGTCTCAGAAAGAATATGTCTAATATATGAATTTAAAGCATGCAAGTAAGATTAGCAAATATTTATCAAATCAATGAGCTCAAGAGAAATCTGTTCATTATACGTATAGGCAGCACTCCTAGAATAAATGAAATGGTTTTGCTGGCTAAGATTGGGCCTACTGTTAGCCTACAGTATAGGTTAACGATATTTCATTATGGCTAGCATCCTCTGGGAAATTTACAGTCCTTCTTCCTAACTCAGCTTGTAGAAGCATTAGCTCATCAGTGGTTTGGGGGTTGTCTCTGTTGGGCTGTCCAGAGAAAGAATTGGATTGGCGTTGTTTTGGTGCCTGACCTTTCTTTGGACAATTGCGAAGGAGGCCTACACTTCTGCTTGTCTTTAAATAGTCCAGGGAAACACCTGTAGAAAGAGGAGTAGAGGAAATTCAAATTAATTTAAGGTCTCAACAGTCAAACAACTGTGTGAGGAACTGAAGAGGGCTCTTGTTGAAACATCTGAGATGCATCCTTTGAACAACATCCAAACCTGGCCATATTCTGAAATGCATCCCTGAAGGTGCCTTTGCAGGTCCACACACTGCAATGTGCTCTTGTGGTTCCTGGGATGTGTCCTGCCTGGATTGCCCTGGCTGAGCTTGACTGTGTGTTGCACGTCCTTGACTTCATTTTCATTAAACGTAATTATTCCCTGACATCATGGAACTTGTTTGTTATATGCTAAATGAATAGGTGAGCTGTATGATAATAAACAGCAACACTTCCATATGAATTCAATAAGTTGCTCCAAAAACAGTATTTGTGTATTGTTATATGTATACAGGGAAAGCAACAATGTAATCAAACCACACATGTTGTCTAGAGCTGGCAACCTAGTAAAGATAGTAACTCATGATACATAATTTTTGGTGTTGGATTATTCAATGTAGCTCTCAGCCTGGCCACCAAATTGAGGGCCATATTGCACAATTCTGTTAGGAGACGGGACAGAAGGACCCAAACGCAACACTCAGAGGGAAGGAGGTTTTATTGAGGGTTCACGGAGGGGGCTAGGGAAGAGGTGAGGGAGGAGAGGTGGACGCCAGGGGACGCGGCACGGAGGACCGAGGAGCAGGCGAGGCATGGTGGGGAGGCAAGGAGCAGGGAGGAGCCAGGAGGCGCCGTGGAGGAAGCCCGAGAGGTGAGGACCGGAGGATGAGCCCAGCCGACTGAACGGATGACGAGGTGAGTGAACCTGGGAGGGAAAACAGACAGAAAGACAGGGTTAGTGACTGGAGCGACAAAATACAGGGAAAATGAAAAAAACAAGGAACATGAGAGCCTGGACGTAGAGGTGGCACCGGGTAAGGAGCACGACAATCAAGCGAGGATGGTGTGGAGAACCGGGGTTGAAATACAGGCTGGGATGAGGTTGATTACTGGCAGGTGGCAGGCTGACGAGGGCTGATGAGGTGCAGGTGTAGGTAGTTGGCTGGGCTCAGGAGCGAGGGAGAGAGGAGGAGAACACAGGGAGGCAGGCAGAGCAAAACAATGGGTGAAATAAAGTGAGAAAAAAAAAGTAAAACCAGGACACTCACCGTCAGCTGGCTGTCCCACAACACAATTCATCCTAGAAGATGGGGAGAAATTAAGAAATTTAACTACATCAAACCCCACCACAAATGAACTACTTTAATGTAATAAACATTTTAGAAATAGTTCACCTCCTCTTTTGCGTCCACCATTTTCTCTAACATCTATGTGCTGGGCTGGATCCACACAAAAATACAATAAGGGAAATAATAATAAATGTGAAATGTTGCATATTGTAACAGTATTTCTCTGCATTGGATTTTAGCCTGCAAAATCCAATGCATTAAACCAGCATCAATAAGAATAGCAATTTTACATGTGAAAAATAATGTTAGGATTCTGTTAGCCTAACATTAGTTGTCTAAGATCCTGTTAATACTTAGTCTTGGGTATCAGGACACAAGAGTTAGCTAAGGTGTTGGCTACAGAACAGATAGGCTAGCTAATGTTAACGTTACATGTTGCTCAAAATATTGTACATTAATGTTGCTTACTGTTAATGTAGGCTACATCTTTCGCAAATATACGTCGATGGTAATCGATTTAATTATGATCTGCACAGCATTTTATACGTAGTCAGAGACATTTTATGTATATTAGAAATTGTCTAATTCATTCACTTACCTCACCTTCTTTGGTAAGTTACACCCCAACTTCGTGCTTCCTGTGATGAGAGCTGTCAGTCAAGGTACAATAATAATATAATAACTTATATTTATATAGCGCCTTTCACAAGACCCAAGGACACTTTACACAAAATTGTTGAGACAGAACAATAAAAAGTCATTTAGGGTTAAATGCCTTTGTAAAGATGTGGGTTTTAGAAGGTTTTTGAAAGAGTCCAGCGAGGGAGCATTTTGGATCTCTGTGGGGATAGAGTTCCAGAGGGTGGGGGCTGCGACGCTGAAGGTTCTGTCCCCAAAAGTCCGCAGTCTGGTGTGGGGGACAGAGAGCACGCCCTTGTCGGTGGACCGCAGGTTCAGTGCGGGGGTGTAGGGGTGGAGAAGGTCCAGTAAGTACTGGGGGGCAGTGGCATGGAGATATTTATAGGTGAGGAGAAGGATTATATGGGTCATGCGGAATTTGAACAGGACCCAGTGAAGCAGAGTGAGGATTGGGGTGATGTGCTGCCACGACCTAGTGTGTGTGAGAACCCTGGCAGCCGAGTTCTGGACATATTGTAGCCTGTCCAGGACCTTGCTGGGTACCCCATACAGGACACCATTACAGTAGTCCAAGCGGGAGGTGATGAAGGCATGGATGAGTGACTCTGCCACAGAGTCTGAGAGTGATGGTTGAAGTGTGGAGATGTTTTTGAGGTGGTAGAAAGCAGATTTGGTAATGAGTTTAACATGTGACTGACACCAAGTTGCGGACTTCTTGGGATGGAGAGATGGAGCAACTATCCACTTTGAGGATTAGATCACCTACCCTCAGGAGCACGGCTTGGGAGCCACTACTATTAGCTCCGTTTTGCTGCTATTTAGCTTGAGTAGATTGGATGACATCCAGGTTTTTATTCAATTCAGACAGTTAAAAAGTGACAGAGGGGGAAGCTGAGTGGATGGTTTAGTGCTGATATACCGCTTTGTGATGAAACACTGACATGTAACATTTGCACAAGATTGGTGTGCATGACTACAAGACAAGAATATATTTTAATAGATCCTCTATTTAGACAGAATATTTACAGTTGAAATATTGAATAGGGGGTCTGGTGGTGGTCCTCCTCCAGAAGATTTTGAGCATTAAACACTTAATTTCCTGCATTCTGGAGACATTTTCTGCACCAATTTGTGGTAGAAATGTCATTTTTATAAAGGGAAGCACAAAATTCAGGTGGCAGGTGAAAATTCACAATGTAAAAATATAATAAAATATAATGCAGTAATCAGTAGCTTATTATTTTTTGCTTAACAAATGCTTTCAAAAAGTGGTGGCAACATGTCCCCAGTGTAAATGACTCTCCCTCCCTGCAGGTTGAGGTCCATGCTTACCGCTTTACCTCCACTCTCCTCCTGCTCTCTCTCTCACTCTGCTAACTTTGTGACTCCTCTTCTGCCCAGCTATTTTACTCCAGCCGCAGAAAAACATATCGGTTATTTTCGCGCATTTGGCGACAGCCGTCTGAAGAATGTTTTATTTGTGGCCCGTAATGCAAGAAACAGAGAGCAGAGGGGGTGGGAGCTAGTAAGAGATGTGATTGGGCCAGCCCAATGTCAGTTTAGAAAATTACCCAATGGGCCGCTGTCCATGCTTTATCGTTGACCCGTTTTTTAAAAACAGTTATATAAGTAATAATTTACGTTACACCGGCCCCAAAGGTGCGTTGGCCCACCGGGCATTTGCCAGGTATGCCAGATTACCAGTCCAGCCCTGGTCATTAGTGATTTTGATGAGGGCGGTCTCAGTGCTGTGATGTGCTCTGAAGCCAGATTGAAGAGGTTCATAGAGATCAAAGTGGGACATGTGTTGATGAAGTTGGGGAGCGACTGCTCTTTCAAGGATTTTGCTCATGAAGGGAAGGTTGGAGTTTGGACGGTAGTTGTTGAGGTCTTCCGGGTCCAAAGTGGGCTTTTTGAGAATAGGGGTAACGGCAGCTGTTTTGAAGCAGGAGGGTACAAAACCAGATACCAGAGTGTGTTTATGATGTCCACCATGATGGGACAGAGGGTAGGGAGGCATGCCTTGACCAAGATAGTAGGCATGGGGTCCAGTGAACAGGTGGAGATCTTGGCTCTGGTCACCAACTTGACGAATTGAGCCGTGTCCAGAAGGGAGAAGGAGAGTCAGTGCTGTGCTGTGGCGAGTAGGCCGTCCACCCGGGGTCCGGGGGATCTGAGGCCAGGTGGGTCGCTACAGTGCTGGCTAGGGATGATGTATTAATGTCTGTTGAATTGATGTTCCTGAATGTGATGGTGCGTTTGAGTTGTTGTCTGGGCAGAAGGACTGGAACATAAAAAAGGATGGCACTGTGGTCAGATACAGCTAGGTCGATGCATTGCAGCTGGGAGGGAGTAGTACCAGTGGAGCACACCAGATCCAGTGTGTGACCTTTGGTGTGAGTGGGACCTTTGACGTGCTGAATGATGTTGAGGCAGTCCAATAGTGACAGGAATTCAGCAGCAAAGGGACAGCTGTTAGAGTCCACATGGATATTGAAGTCCCCTAGCAGGAGTGTGGATGGAGACGTAGAGCAGATGAGTAGCTCGGATAGCTCGGCCATGAAGATGGTGGAGGTTTTTGGGGGTGATAACAAGGACCACTTGGAGCTGTGCAGACCCAGCCAATGTGAAACGAAGACACTCAAATGAGGTGATGTTAGGCACTGGAAGTTCTTTCACTGAGATGTCAGCTTGATGTATAACAGTGTGTGTGAGTATGTGAGTATTAATATGACTGTGAGTATTAATATGACTGGGAGGGGTGGATTCATTTAGGCATACATATTCTCCCTCACCCAGCCAGGTTTCAGTAAGACAAAATAAATCAATATTATAATCTGATATTAATTAATTTACTAGTACACCTTTAGAAGAGAGAGAGCTGATGTTTAATAGTCCACATTTAATTGTCCTTCTTTTGCTCTATTGCACTTGAGGTTTTAATTTTTATGAGGTTTTTATGCACAGCTCCTCTTCTGTTTACCTTTGATTTAAATAATTTCAATGGTCGGGGGCAAACACCATCACTATGGGGTTTTGGCTTGGTAACTCCTGAAATGGATCTTGGGGTCCTCCCCCAGAAAATAAGAGCATTAAACACTTAATTTCCTGCATTCTGGAGACATTTTCTGCCCCAATTTGCGGTGGAAATGTCTTGATTTATATAAAGGGAAACAAAACAAAAATTTGGCTGGCAAGTGACAATTCAAAATATAAAAGAATGTAATGCAGTAATCAGCTGCAATTTTTGGACAATGCAAATTTGTTTCTTCTATGTTTCCTTATTGTTAAAAAAAAACCTTGTCCAAAAAACCTTTTCAAAGCACTGTCATTTGTTAGTTCACATTACTTTTTTAAGCTATGTTCAGAACATTTTGCTTTCAAAAGTGATGGGGACCAAATGAGCCATTTCTAAATGTGGTGGGGACATGTCCCCAGCATCCCCAGTGTAAATGACACCAATGCACTGTTGCAACGAGGACATCATAATGAAGATTTCAGTGCACTGGGACTAAACCTGAACTATCCTTGCACAGAACCATGGCCTTTGACACCCACCCATGCTCCTAACCCACTTTGATTGATTTATATACAGTGAGGAAATAATTTGAACACCCTGCTATTTTGCAAGTTCTCCCACTTAGAAATCATGGAGGGGTCTGAAATTGACATCTTAGGTGCATGTCCACTGTGAGAGACATAATCTAAAGAAAAAAAAAATCCAGAAATCACAATGTATGATTTTTTAACTATTTATTTGTATGATACAGCTGCAAATAAGTATTTGAACACCTGCGAAAATCAATGTTAATATTTGGTACAGTAGCCTTTGTTTGCAATTACAGAGGTCAAATGTTTCCTGTAGTTTTTCACCAGGTTTGCACACACTGCAGGAGGGATTTTGGCCCACTCCTCCACACAGATCTTCTCTAGATCAGTCAGGTTTCTGGGCTGTCACTGAGAAACACGGAGTTTGAGCTCCCTCCAAAGATTCTCTATTGGGTTTAGGTCTGGAGAGTGGCTAGGCCATGCCAGAACCTTGATATGCTTCTTATAGAGCCACTCCTTGGTTATCCTGGCTGTGTGCTTCGGGTCATTGTCATGTTGGAAGACCCAGCCTCGACCCATCTCCAGTGCTCTAACTGAGGGAAGGAGGTTGTTCCCCAAAATCTCGCAATACATGGCCCCGGTCATCCTCTCCTTAATACAGTGCAGTCGCCCTGTCCCATGTGCAGAAAAACACCCCCAAAGCATGATGCTACCACCCCCATGCTTCACAGTAGGGATGGTGTTCTTGGGATGGTACCAAAAAGTTCTATTTTGGTCTCATCTGACCACATGACTTTCTCCCATGACTCCTCTGGATCATCCAAATGGTCATTGGCAAACTGAAGACGGGCCTTGACATGTGCAGGTTTAAGCAGGGGAACCTTCCGTGCCATGCGTGATTTCAAATCATGACGTCTTAGTGTATTACCAACAGTAACCTTGGAAACGGTGGTCCCAGCTCTTTTCAGGTCATTGACCAGCTCCTCCCGTGTAGTTCTGGGCTGATTTCTCACCTTTCTTAGGATCATTGAGACCCCACGAGGTGAGATCTTGCATGGAGCCCCAGTCCAAGTCAGATGACAGTCATGTTTAGCTTCTTCCATTTTCTAATGATTGCTCCAACAGTGGACCTTTTTTCACCAAGCTGCTTGGCAATTTCCCCGTAGTCCTTTCCAGCCTTGTGGAGGTGTACAATTTTGTCTCTAGTGTCTTTGGACAGCTCTTTGGTCTTGGCCATGTTAGTAGTTGGATTCTTACTGATTGTATGGGGTGGACAGGTGTCTTTATGCAGCTAACGACCTCAAACAGGTGCATCTAATTTAGGATAATAAATGGAGTGGAGGTGGACATTTTGAAGGCAGACTAACAGGTCTTTGAGAGTCAGAATTCTAGCTGATAGACAGGTGTTCATATCCTTATTTGCAGCTGTATCATACAAATAAATAGTAAATAAATCATACATTGTGATTTCTGGATTTTTTTTTTTAGATTATGTCTCTCACAGTGGACATGCACCTACGATGACAATTTCAGAACTCTCCATGATTTCTAAGTGGAGAACTTGCAAAATAGCAGGGTGTTCAAATACTTATTTTCCTCACTGTATGTGACTTTGAGTTCCAATGCCCTCCCTCTGTCCCTTCCTCCGTATCTCCGCCATATAGACTGTAGCCTATATAAGCAGCGCAGCGCACACAGCCAGGCAGACAGCAGCCCCTCCCAGCTCCTCTCCCAGATGTGTTTTTATTTATTTAACCTTTATTTAAACAGGTGAGTCTCAAAGAGAGATCTGGCCAAGACGTAGCATTAAAGGGGGGTGGGGGGGCTCTGAACACCTGGTGTTGAAGACATCTTGCCACGCGTTGCCACTCTGTGAATGACAGTAAGAATATGCTGGGCATGTTGGCATGAAAGTGTTCTCTGAACTCTGAATGCGAAGCAGAGTATTGTTAGATTGATTTTTTTTGCATATATATTACAATATATATATATATATATAAAAATATATATAGGGAGTCACAAAATCCTTGCAGTATTACTGCCATGAGCTAACACACAGCTGCATTCATTTCAAAATGAACTATTAATAGTGTGCATTAATTTCACTGCTGGCTAGTGATGGCTACTTACCCACAGATGGAGAGTTGACAGTGACCTGGCGTTGATGCTGGCGTCATGCAGGCCAGTTGAGCTAATGGTACTTGGCCAAGTTGGAGATAATATATCTGAGCAGTGGAGAAGCCAGTAGCTGTACACTGGGAACCTCATGCAAGTCAGAAAAAATTTGATTCCCACAAAGGTTATTCTTGTCACATTCTGTATGTGAGTCACAAAGTTTACTCACCCTTGTATGAGGAGGTGGGGAGAATGTCTGCTGCAACTGAGTGCTTAGCATGCTCCATCTAGTTCAGAGACCAGGCCCCCCACAGTTAGCTCTGGAACACATCAGTGTGTTATCGAAGCATATTGTCATTTCAGATTTGACCTGTGTTTTAATGAGTAGACCACCTGACTTGAATCAGTTGAACTGTGTCCTCCAGTGCATGGACACCTTTTGAGACCAAATTTTTGACTCAAGTGAACTGAACTCAGGTAACCTCAGGGTTTCATATGGCTGGGAGGAGAAAAGAAAGACATAGTGAGGAGCTCTGACATTCCAAAGGAGCAGGGACCCCAGGGCAGACCCAGAACACATGCAGGGGATTACCTGTCCCAGGTGGCTTGGGGACATCTCGGATCCGCCATTAAGCTGGAGGAAGTAGCTAGAGAAAGGCATGTATGAAAATGGACGGATGCAGGCACATGCACACATAGACATTAAAGGAGCTTAAGCACCTGCCATTTTTCTTCCTGGAGAGAAAGTGCCTTTTTTCTGTGGTGCTTTTTAAAAAAAGAATATATATTCCTGTTGGCGCACAGTTTCCCTGTCAACAAATATATTATTGATTAAAAAATCAAAAGATCCGGTTGGGAGATTAGACTTTGAGTTCCGATGCCCTCCCTCTGTCCCTTCCTCCATATCTCCGCCATATAGACTGTAGCCTATATAAGCAGCGCAGCACACACAGCCAGGCAGACAGGCAGGCAGCAGCCCCTCCGAGCTCCTCTCCCAGATTGTTTTTCTTGGCTTGTGTGGACGTAAAAAGACAAAAGACTAAGCTTCAAGTGCTTTAAGTTAACGGCTAATTAGCCAAAAGCCAAATATAGTTAACTTGTATCTTGCTAACATGCATGACCAAGCTACTAGCTATTGTTTGCCAAAGTTTACATACAGGCTAATGTGCTGTACTTAATGGAGACACTACAGGTTGTTAGATCCCGAGTTACCCTGTTCAGGAGGTACTGGACCAGCTCTCCGTCTTAAAGGGTCCGATCCTCTAGGCCTATGGGTATTACCGTATTAGGTATAACTGAGGACTGTTTAAGCTGGTGTCAAAGAGATTCGCCTAGCTTCTAACTGTCTTCTTCCGAACGCCTACCCTGCCTACTCTGAAATGGCACCTGACTGAATAGCCCTAGAGCCAAATACCACCCCAGCAATACCTGTTAACGACAGCTCTCTTCTCATTGATCAGTGCACTTGGTATAGTTGCTAGGATTGTGTTTAGTGGCCAGGAAAATAGGTCCCAAGGATAAGTTAATTTCGTTGGCTGGAGCAACCTATAAGAACCTTAAAGATGTTAAACACACTTTACCTAATGGATTACTACCTATAGTGAAGAAATAGATTCAATGTCTACTACTGGTACTTTAAATGCAGTGATTATATATTTTATTGCAAAGTTAAGCAAGGGCAAGCATACAACTTAAACTGATTAAAACTTATGTAAACTGATAAAATATCTCAAATTCAAAACATGATTATAATAGCTGAGCTTGAGTATTTTGATGTCTTCTTTTTTGGAGAGAACGGGAGGGGAAGGAATAGTCCTGCAGTGAAATCCTTCCTCCGCTGCGGAGCTGTTGACTCTGGTGGAAACTTGAGGCTTTGTCCAAAGCCCTCAAATTGTCTCTAAAAGTCTTCAGTCTTTGTTGCAGTTGAGAGAGAGAAAAGCTTCAGAGTCCGATGATTCTTCT